TGGTTACCAGTCCCTTGAGATGTCATCAAGTGAATGGAAGCACTGGTACAATACCACATGTTATGCAGGCTTTAAAAACACGAAAAAGAGCCGGATTATAAAGATGATAATAGTCTAGAAAGGAAAAGAGAGTAGAATGTAGTATTAGAAGATTTATTTTCAATTAATGAAAGTGTGAATTTGAGAGAGATGTGAGAAGATCAAAATCCAATAATTAAATAAGCTAAATAATGTCGTCCTCCTTTGTTCGCTTTTTTTACTATTGCGCATATAGACCATACTCGTATCCTTAATTGTTAATGTACTGTAAGTAAGCCTGCAATCAACTATTGATTGTGAGTCTTTTCATTATATTTACCATCATATACCTATTGCAAGCTTCAACGTTCTATCCTAATACTGAAGCTAATACGAATATGGTTAAAGACTATTCATTTCATTGAAGTCTAGTCTCCTCGCAGCCGTTCTTATTGGCTGGCTCCCTGTCCCCCGCTACTAAGAACGGCTGCRAGGAGACTAACTGAAGTGAAATGCCGATCCATTTATCACATCTATTTGATTATTACACACTGTGTTCAAAACTGAAAATTAAATTTTTCTTACCTTAACACTTTCCGCATGATGCTTTACAATCTCTTTTCATTTGARCACTGTTGCAGCTTTTTCGAAACCACYTTAGCAGTTGACACTTWTTTCCCTTGAGTCTGTTGGCGCACGCACCWTTTCTTTTGAGAATATTCTCATCTTCATCCTGCGTMATCTTGGAGAGTTCTTCGGCAAGTCGTTTTGTTTCCTCTTGATATTTTTCTTCGTGTTCTCTCTTTTCTTGCTCGATTTTTTCCTCGATCTTATTCGCTGCTTCTCTTTTTAACTCATCAATCCTCATTTTAGCTTCTCGTCGAAATTCCTCTACTTGCTGTTTTCKTTTRATTTCTTCTTKCTTTTCTCGYTTAAGCTTAGCTTGTCTTTCYGTTTYTTGACTCAGTAATTCYTCGTTGTTTTGTATGTTATCCTTCGCCTCACGTTTAAGTGTAGACTCCAGTTCTGTTCGTAGATAAAGTACAGTCAGCTCTCGCCTTACGGACACCCCGCTACAACGGACACCTCGATATTGCGGACAGTAAAATACTGAATCCCCGGTGAAATATACATAYATATCTCGTTACTACGGACTCTCGCTACTTACGGTCCCGASGATGTCCATAGTAGCGAGAGGACTAATGTTAGTGTACTATTCTCTMTTTAAAGTCCCGTAGTATTTATCATGATCATCATCATTATTATTATTATTRTTGTTTTTCTCCTTGYTTACTTACTTTGAACCAATTGTAATAGCTCTTCTCGTTTCTTTGCCTCAGTTTCGTCCTGCATCGAACTATGAACAGCGGCAAGACACACGAATATAGCAAGGATGACACGAACGGATGTCATAGCGAATCTAGCGAGAAACAGTGGTTAGTACTACAAAGGGAGGCTCTATAACCGGGGGGAGGTCAGAATCGGAAAGATGGAGAGGACAATATGCAATTTTGGGGGAGGGATCGGGTAGAAGTTGGGGGCAAGGTATAAACACTTGGTATGGAGAGTTGATTTAATGAATCTTCKCCCGTAACAACTTAATTCACATGACTAAAAATATCAAACCAATTAAYAATAGTTTTTGTGGGTCTTTTAAGCTATTAGCAAAATAAGTCTAAGTAGTACAAGCTATTTATAGGATGGATGAATATTGTAATCGCATTTAYGACTAGTACAAACCTGACTAGTGTTTAATATATTGCACGAAAATAATATATACTCGAAAACTCAAATGAAATAATATCTATTCCATTACTACCGAAAACGCACCGTAATCGTATCGAAACGGTATATGTATAAAGTTTTAGATTCTATTTTAGATTTGGTGTGATATCGTAAGACATTAAAGACTTAAAAAATGTAGATGCATGTAAAGATGAAACCATCTCAAGTCTCAATCGACGTTCATTTTCGATTCGTATTGTAGTCGTATGTCGTGTCATATCGGATCCCCACTTTTGCGAAATCGACTTCGTCAAACAGAATTCTTCCCAAACACGCTTTCAATAAAGTACTGAATATTGTAAACACACTGCAAGTGCAGTGAATAAATAAAATGCCCGATACTTGTTTGATTGGAAAGTTTGACACTCCCAAACTACGACGTCAGATCAACAGCGACCTAAAACCCACAGGTTAACCGGCTGAACTCCGTATTATTACAACCCATTACTCTTTTTGGGGGGTGATTTGTGTGAGTAAAGTACTTGAAATATGATAGTATTACCTGTAGCACGCGTTGATGAGGCTATTCACGGTGGAAAGGCAGTCAGTATTCAAGGACAAGTGGTATTTACTAGTTTATATCTGTGAGCAYCCAAGATACGATCTTAACGCATGCCTATGACGAGACAAGTGGGCTGACGCCATGTTGTATGCTTTCAGGAAATAATTTTCGATGATTGATAATCCTTTCCTTTTATTTGTAAAACCTGATTATCTGGCAATTTCCTGGAAACAGTAGAGTTTAGAAAGTATATTTTTGATTGAGTTATACTAATATAGGATGTATTACGTTTTGTATTTGTGGGAAGAAACATGTCTTATCGCTGCACAGATTTTACTCGTAGACCACATTGCTCTTATCGAAGTCGATTATTATTACCCATAAATCAAATTGAACAAGTATGCATCAAAATCAAAGCTCTCAGCTTGCCTAAAAATACTATAACACAGGTTTATCTTTCCCAATTCAATACCGAAATTTCAATTTTGACTTCTTCGCAAGTTAAAAATTCCACCCMATTGAAGTAATTTCTAGAGGAAATCATTCACTATTTCAGATAAATGTCTAGTGAATTATTTACACAAGATAAAAAGATAGAAATATGTTGCCTACAGATGAAAGTATTCAAGTTCCTATTCATATGGCATGCAGTTATTTGTACGTAAAATACCAAATCAAACTTAGATTGAAAACTGACAGTTTCTTTGCATTTCAAAGTATTTGTAAAACATTTCCGAACATAAGGTTTTCATCATTGCTTTAATTCGCAGAAAATTAATTATGAAAACCATAATCACAGCCATAATGAATAAATAAAAGCCAAAACAAGGTAGCGACTTGACAATGAGCGACTGGTGCAAGCCGAGGAAAACGTGGGAAGGTTGATCCAATCATATTTCTTATCAACTCTAGCGCCTTCGATTAGTCACAGGATCCACCTCATAATGTATATGAACTCTTATCGTACAAGATTGGACGCCATTTTTCCTCGACTTCGACTACATATAGATTGGAGCATGCGCAGCGAGCAATTAATGAGCCTTTGAATCGCGCCCAGAAGAAAGCTTGAGCCAATTATTATGAACTATCGAAGTCTTTCAAACATTCAAACCGCGAAATACAAATACTCTACCAAATAGGCTGGTTGGAGGTAATCGATAGCGATCAGGGTCTAATGCCTACAACAACAGCGAAAGGCAATTAGTTCAATGAATTCTAATGTTCTCTGGACAAATGTGATGTGCTGAACTAGACTTTGTCATGTTTGTACTAAGTAATAAATGTTCTTATCGAAAACATAAGAAGATGCGAAAAAAWRATWAAAAAAAATAATAAAATTAAGCAAAAACCGGAGAATAGACAAAAGTATGGTGATTTCAATTGATTCATCAATTTCACTTGGGGAATTAGACGTTTGAATGACCAGTTCTTAATACCAAGTAATGAGTAATGTAACCCAACCATCAAGAATTCAGTAGATTAGCAATAAAACATTTTATTATAGTCAATATACTTTATCCATTAGAAATATATCAATATATTAAATAATACTTTGTTACTGTCCAAAGCCTTGGGCGTTGTCCATCAAATATAATCTCTATTCGTCTCAAGAACCTATTGCAAGACAAATACGTTAAAAACACATTGAAATACAGGTATAAAATCACGGAATACGCAAAATATATTTTCTAGCTGATGCCGGGTTATAATCATAATCATAATCATAATCAGTGAAAAAGTCGTACGTTTTCTTACCTATGATTAAGGACGTTAGCTGGACGGGATCGTACCCATTGGGACTGTGAAGTTCTTTGATACAGATACGCGCAGCGGAATTGCCAATGTGCTATACGTAAAGAGGAAAAAATGTTAGGTAAAGATCTAAATGTGTTWCGTAAAGAACAATTTGTTACGTATAATACACATTGTGTTACGTAAAGGACGAATTGTGTTATGGAAATAACAAAATAGTCTAATTTAGAATAGTAAGGACTTAAAGAGAATTAAACGTGAGAACAACTGAATTTGTTACGCAAGGAACGCAAGAAATAGTTACGCAAGGAAGKATTACCTCGACCCAGGCCGCGATGCTGTTGTAATCCGGCATGATTGCACCTACACCTGTTGTGTGTCCTGGCGTAACGATAACCGTAGGTGGTTTAGTGTATGCCTTGTTGAACGATGTCGTCTGAAAATACAAGCACAGCATTATACACTAACGTCTCGTTCGCACCGTTGCGTTTTCGTCTGAGTATTTTTTCTAATGAAAATAAAAACTAAACGAAGCAGCTTTTTCTTCATGTTTTTGAATATATAGCCCACATGAATCGAGGCACATGAAATGAAAGAAAGCAGCAATGTGGGAAGGACTCTGAAAATATACCCGAGCATGCATAATGTATACATACCTTGCAGAAAGCGTTATTGTGACCAGCGTGTGGTAGGTAGTCATTCGGGAAACTAATCGATTGTCGTTCGGAAGGAATTGCACTCGGAAGTGTCTCGTACGCTAACCAGTTCTAGTCGTAAAGACAGAATGAAATTTGTTAAGAAATAATCAAATAAAATAGTTCAGTGCACCGGTTTCATACCACTTTGACTTTTTGGTGAAGTCCATCGAAGTTTTGCAACTCACGAAGACAAACTCTAAATGACGTACTAGTGACGTCTTCAACCCACGTGGTCGCTGCGTCATGCTTCTGTYCCAAGACGCCATGCTGCGCAGATGCCACAACGTAAGGCTTGTTTGCAAATTTATCCTGTGGAAATATATAGTCGATGTTAGTATATAGTGATACGCAAGTTATTTAACCCTCTTTTTTAGGGTGTTAGATTTATCTTTTTACATAACTGTTTTTATAGTGATACGAACTGAGGGTAATAGAGCATAACATAGAGAAATAAAGACCATTATTATTAATATTGTGTTATTATTATTACTTACACTTGGTAGATTGACAGATTTACACGTAGTTCCGTCCCACCAGTTGCCAAGAACCTCGACACCAGCCACAGCTCCCGMAGGGGACCCCTGGTAAGCAATATAATCAATATATGTAGACCCCTGGTCGGGAGTTGATCGGTCATTTCTACCAGCCTTCAGAGCACAAGTGGTGAAGTTGTTGATRTTGAYRTTYTCTGTCCAGACCACAGCGGCATCATGGATGAAAGAGGCATTGATATCAGAATTATAATAATTAATCGTTGCCTGGACATGGACTTTGTAACCAGCCAKGAAGTTCTGCTTCGCGTAGGTAACAGTTTTACATTTGACAACATCGGTGTCCAGGAAGATTTGGGCTCGTCCACGGTGAAGGATGAAGGCTTTACAAGGAAAAGTCAAAGTTAGAGGACAAGAACATACCTTCCCCCCTCCCCATCGTGGAGCATTGAATACTTACGAAAGCAAGGTCCATCGTGAACAACAGTAATCATTTTTCTTTGGTTACAGACAGCTTTCTTCAATTCGCACATGTTGGCATAAGTTACGTTGTCACTTCCACATTTTTGGTCTTCGAAGTCGGGACAGGATTCTGGACATACGCATCTAGCATCTTTAGGTCCAAAAGCTTTGCACGTGGCATAGAAATCACACGAGACACCGATACAAGGATCAAGATCTAATGATTGAATAACAGTAAACGATTTCATATTGTTCTTAATTATTTATCAAATTCGATTGGACTACACCAAAGTCATTTCCGATTTTTTCCCGATCGTTTCCCGATCATTTGCCGAAATATTACAGACGAAGATTAACTAAATATTATTTGTGTTAACCTACTGCAAAAGAGTAGCGAACATCGCATAGCCAAGTATTCAATTCCGATTGTTTCACGATTATGTTCCGATTATTTTCCGATCATTAACCGACGGATCACGACAGTCACGAGCTAAAAGTACGAGCAATAATACTAACCTCCTAAAGCCAAGTATTCAATTCCGATTGTTTCACGATTATGTTCCGATTATTTTCCGATCATTAACCGACGGATCACGACAGTCACGCGCTAATAGTACGAGCAATAATACTAACCTCCTAAAGCCAAGTATTCAATGTGAACGGGATCGTGATGTCCATCATATGGCTGAATGTCTTTCATACATACTTTAAAGCTATTAATTGAGACACTTTCAATCCATTCTGTAATGGCATTGTGGTCAGGGTTGATAGACTTCGGGTTTTTCTTCTGGTCGTAGAAGTGCAATGCTGAAGTAATCATGACAGGTGGGGCGTAAAACTTCTCGCCAAAACTGATATCCTAAAAAAATACATATTATACTCAAATAAATTCATAAAAATTCACGTTATAATCAGATAAATTCATAAAACAGAATGCATTCACATAAAGGCTCAATAATCCAAAATAATGTATTCAAGTTAACTCGTGAATATTCACTACTTAGTGCACGTTTCCTCGTGGATATAGAAAGGAATACAGAARTCAACAAACCTCACAAAAGCTGTAACGCGTCGAGATATCRAGAGTTGCGGTGTTTTTCATTTCGTAAACTGTTCCAAAAGGAGCATTCCAACCTGTAGGTACACCTTCAAGTGCAAGCCAGTCCTACAGAATAGACATTAATTCATTAATTAATTTATTCATTCATCCATTCGCTCATTTAACCATTCTGATCGATCACGTGATCAAATCGCGATCAAAAACAATTTTTCTTTTGTCAAAATTTGTGGTTKTCATTTAGCTTAAAGCTCTTAGTTTTTAATGCAAATTCTWGTTTATTATCTTTACTTACGATGTCAATTTTGTCATGGATTCCATCGAAACTCTTCAATTCTCTYAGGCATGCTTTGAACGAGTAYCKTGTAGCACCCTCGGCCCAAACGCTCATTGCGTCGTGGTTATTCTTRAAGCTTGACGTATGGACTGCTGTCACGTAAATGTGTGGAGCTGCGGCAAAGACCTGCAATAAAAAAGAAAAATAAGATTTGTTAGGCATTCSTCTTTCTTGGTTGCTCTTGCTATTTATTGGAAAACATGACAAAACCATACGAAAACGCATCATTATTGACCTAATGCAACACATAAGATTCCTTGACGTCATTGTATGTGACGTCACATTGAAAAGTATATGACGTCGCACTAGAAGTATATGACGGTATATCGAAAATATGTGCCGTGAAAATATCTATCTATCTCATATAACGTCAAAGTGTTTGTTACCACTAAGATTCACATTTGTTAACACTAAGATTCCTTGACGTCATTGTATGTGACATCACATTGAAAAGTATATGACGTCACACTAGAAGTATATGACGGCATATCGAAAATATGTGCCGTGAAAATATCTATCTATCTCATATAACGTCAAAGTGTTTGTTACCAGGTTACGGTAGTCAGATATAACGCTCATCTGTCACGTGATATTTTATTGATTCTTACCTTTCCAACCAAATCAATGTCAGTGCATTCAGTTCCCGTTGTGAATAAATGAACACTCGTCGAACCTGCCAAACCACCTTTAGGCGACCCAGCATAAGACATCCATTGTACCTGGACTGTACGAGACACACTWACTGGTCCTGCTGTCTCAATACATGCTGTAAAACCATTCTCAGTGATTTGTTCAACCCAGCTTACTGTCGCTTCGTATGTTAAAGCCGTGTCGTTATTGAAGATTGCTGTCTGCACATGCGCGGTAGGAAGCTCTGAAGCCGTGAAGGGTTTTGCGAAACCAAATGATTTACATGCAAATTCATTTGGYGATARAATCACAAAYGTGCCAGATCCGAATTCCATGTCGGATACCACTATAAACAAGGGATATGAAACATCAGTAATCTTAAATACTTACCACAAATATAGGTTAATATATTACAAAAGAAAAGATATATTATAGTATCAAAAAACTCGAGTAAAGTCCGACCTGAAATGTTCGTAAAACGAAAAGAATTTTATATTATCGTGTTGAGAATCTTTACATTTACAGGACAAAACATCTGATTTCTGCATCATAATTTTAGTGTGAAAGTTTGGTTCTTAACAGCAAAGTGCTCAACAAATTACTCTTTCGTTATTTACCTGGCGTAAGAATCGCCATTAAAGCAACAAGAACAAGAAGACGAGCCATGCYGACCTGAAATGAAAACATTGTAYAACTTCAAATGAACAGTAAAACTATAAAACAACTCRAAATTKGATGAATKTTTTTAATGTTCAAACGAAAAAACCCGAAGTATTGATTTTAAGGTTTACTACATTCATTTTCAACTCAAATCTCCATTGCCGCACATTGAAAGCAGATACAAGTTCCCGACATAGTCATTTTATCAAGAAACAAGAAATAACTATCTGTTATATTACTGAAACGCGACTTAGAATAGAACTGACAACTATAAACTACGCATTTCTTAATTTCTTGTTTAATTTCTGCAGAATATAAAAAGGTACAAATACCTTACAGTTCTTTCTTGTACACATAATATTTCCAAATGAGTCTTACCTTTTAAAGTATGAATTCTGTCTCTTCTAGCTACCAAGAGAGTATAAACCACCGTCGCTGGGAGCTGTTCAAGAGAATAGTGAACGAGCTAGCAGTCGCAAGGGTTTTTATATCGTTTATGGCGCTAACACGATGGAATTGACAAGCTTATACAACAATAGGAACGCCTTTGTATACAGAACACCATCTGATTGGCTTACAATCATCTAAGATTGTAAGGTGAAAGCTGTTGCAAAAGAACATGTACAAAACACTTATTTTGAACTGCAAAATTGTTCATTTTATGAAATTTTTGGAGYTATATCAACTCTAASGTGAACTAAACTGTTTTTAGTCSTTTTCTCTACATTTAATTTAATCAAAATCAAACAAAGCAATATTTGAAAGTGAGAAGTATTTGTTGCTCCGATTCAAATTGCCTAATTGGCCTGTGAAAGGCAATATTGAGAATACAATGAACAGATGGGATTAGGAAAGTGTGCCAATGTTTTTCTAAGGCTGGTCGGTACATATTGATGCGTTTTTGAGCGTTTTTCATTCCCTCGAGGGTTAGAGAACAAAACGTGATTACAAGTTCCTAGTTTCATGAAAATGTTATTTCCTTTCTTGTAAGAAGCCAAAACTTGAAATTATATGCTCAAAAAAGGTTTGTCAAAATAAACAAATCTATAGTTCTTTGTATGTAAAGAAAATAAAAATACATGAGAGATTCATCGTCATTAGTATGCAATCAACTTGTTGTCAACAAGTTCGCGCCCGTTCGCGCCCATGAAACTTTGATTCATAAATTTGTCGTATTTCTTTGCATTATTTTTTTTCCTAAAGTCTAATTACATCAGTTATTTCGTGCTCTTTTTGCTCGTTGAATGTTATCGAATTAGCATTGTTGTTTGTGAATAATTAGTAGGCTTGAGGAGCAAGCGTGAATGACTAAAGAAAACATCGAAAGTGAATGAATACTCCAGAGTCCCAACCGAAGAAGACAAGGAAGTTGAAACTGTCAACAGCAAACGAAAGAAARGTAAGATTTTGCTTAGACACTGTGGGATATTTTAGTTAAATTGTTTTTGTGTGTACGCTGTAATATATCAAAGAAATGCTTGGAGATATATTGAAAAGAATTGGATGAAAACAATCCTTGGTTATTTCCATTTGGTGAATATTAAAATATGATTTGTTATTTCAGCTCTTGTTTGGNGAACAGCTGTAAATACTACCTACATATATTGAAAGAAGTTACTTACCTGGGGCCGTAAATAACTTTTCCTGTTCCTCGATATTTATCTAGATCTATACGCAACACTTGTTTGTCCAGAATAATCTCTCAACACTTTGGCTCCATTTTTATAGCCAAGACATGAAATAACGTTCAAATCGTCAGAATAATCTCTAGTAGCATTAGATTTGCCGTTTCAGGCTGGATTATCCCACGTTCAGTCTTAGAAAACATAGATTTGTAATGAAATATGTGGAACTTGTACAGTAAACTTTGTATTTACCGAAGGACGAGTTACTCCATCTACGTCATCAACCCAGGCTCCCTCGCACTCGGCCAAAAATCATTTGGCCGAATTAAACGAGCATAAGAAATATAAAATTTGGAAATTCGAATTTTTTTTATGTGAATTTGTGGTTTATAACTCCTAAACTTTTTGTTCCAACTGTAAAAAAAATTGGGTGAGGTGGACTTTAATGTTTCTCTCTGATCTTGATGACTGTTGTTCGTCTTTCAGGGTTTAACTTCAAACACGGACGAGTACCTCTCACACTTAATACCGCTGACTACAAGTGTTCTCGAGTCTCGTTTGGTTACACATTTAAACCCAACGCTACAATMTACGTGTATTTGACGGTAGACTATCATAACTCTACCATACCAACACCTCATGACACKCCRACAGTCTGGGCYGAGGGGATAACTACGACTTCATTTAGCGCATGTGTACTYAAAGCAGGCCGCAATGATGTTGTACCAGCAGATGGTGGGCTCACTTTTGTTAATTTYATGGCTTACCAAGGGTCCCCCCCTGGTGCCATTACTGGTGATGAGCGYTTTGATGATTGGTGGGAAGGTACGTCTTGCAGACAGGTCGATATTCCAAAGGTAAGTAAGGAGGGTTAAAGGGTAATATACAGATTAAATATTGATCGTAGCCTTAAGTCGTACTACTTCGATCATCTTGGGGAGGTAGACAAGAGTTAAGCTTGTAGTGGTGGAAAMTAGCGATAAACTAGTGTGAGCTGCGTCGGTATTTCTAAAGAAACAGTTTTGTAAAAAGATAAATTTAACACCGTAAGAAAGTAGGTGAAATAACTTACTGACGTTTCGGACGTTAATCCTTCGTCGGAGTAAAAGAGAAAGACGAGGGATTGACGTCGGAAACGTCAGTAAGTTATTTTTACCTACTTTTTTACGGTGTTAAATTTATCTTTTTACACAACTAGCTGTTTCTTAAGCTTGCAGTGATTTTTTCCCCTATAGCAGTCAAGTCGGTCTGAATGAACCAATGATTATTCTCCAGGATAGGTTTGGTAGCAAGCCCTACGTTCTCGTCACGTCAAAACACACYATAAAAGGCTTGAAGCATGACGCAGCCACAATATGGGTGGAGGACCTCAGTGTGAACTCATTTCGAGTCTGTTTGAGGGAATTGCAGAGTTTCGACTGTATGCACCATGGAATAGTMGTTGTGAGTAAGCTCGTATTTGCCTGTATTTTAGTGTGATTCAGTATGTGTTGCTATTAGTCGGTTATTCTTGGAACACTTGGCAACAAAAACTATAATGAAACAAAGAAAACACTGAGAAATACCGACCATTCACTGGGAAAAAAATCGCGCACTTTAAAAGGTTGCAAATTTGATGTAAATATGATGTAAGTGTCCAAAATGATGTAAATTTGATGTGGATGATTTGCAACAAATTTACATCATTTTGGACACTTACATCATATCTACATCAAATTTACAACCTTTTAAAGTGCGCGATTTTTTCCAGTGATTATTCTACTATTTCATTCACGGGGTTAGTATAASTAGTCTTTGATTTTTTCTGGTTTAGAACTGGTTGGCCTTTTCAGTCCTGCCGACGGGAGTTAACGGCGAACGACACCAAGTCATCTTAGCCAACACTGGACAGCTATCGTCAGGAGACAGTGCTTACTGCAAGGTAACATACTAATCACTACTCGCCCCTTTGGTCAGTTAAAGGACTGGGGCTAGTATAGGTGTGCAAAGTCTCTTGGGAATGCTACTAAAATAATCCATTCAGTTAACTTATCTCGGTGAATGTTCCTCAATTCCTAGAATCTTGCATTTACTGGGAGCTATGTTACCATGCCAACGATACTACTGTCRGCTGTGCATCAGGGAGARGAGGGTGGACTGGTACCTGATTACAATAGCATATCAGCTTGGGTAGAGGTAAATACTGCATTTGTCGACTTTTGACTTGAGTGAAGTATTGATAGTTATGTTTTTTGTAGAAAATGTCGTTRAGTAGCTGTACGATATGYACAAGACAGCATCATAGAAAGACTGGTGGATACGATGCCTTATCGTTATCTGTAGCTCTGCTGGGTGTTGTATAGGTAAGGATTATAAATGTGTATTTCAGGCGGATCTTTTTATCCTTGTTTTAATACAATTYCCTTCATTTTTTTCAGGAAATAAATGAAATAATGTGTAATCAGAATTTATTTACTGTTTAATGAGTACTTATTTAATAAAAAACGACGAAAAAACTTTGCAGGCAGCCCTAAAAAATATTGTAGTTTRAACGYAAACTTSAGAAAATGAAGTGATTAAATGCATGCTATCATCCATAATAAACAATGATTTTYATTTCTTTGAGYTCTCATCYACACACCACTMCCCAAAGTATTTCCGGGAGAAAGACCCTTTATTTCCGACCTCGCTGAGATTCGAGCGCACGAGTTATCAAGAATCTTTCTCCCGGAATTCACCTCCTTCCTAGAATTATAACTTTCTTTTATTTCTATATTAAGKTAGGTGTAGGTGTGAAGACTCTTAATCTGTAAAACAACATCAAATAGATAGTTAATCGAGAGAGTTTGCAAACCGGATAGTTAGTTGAATTAAAGTCACAATGCGAGTATATATTATTGTTTGGTTTGGAGTCTGTTTGAACGAAGCGAGACGTTTAAAAGATTCGAAATAGATTAAGTAAATAGAGGTAAGAATATTAAAAATCCCCGAAACAATTAGATATATCGGTGAAGAAAAACTTAAGATAGTCTACGGTTAGTCAGAGTGTCTAAGCGGCCTTCATTTTCGTAGTTTCTTTTCAATTTTACCGTTTTTTCTTTTATWTCATTTTCCGTAGGCGTTTTTTGGTTTATTTGCTCTTTCACTGCGCRTCAATTGTTCTCTTTTATTCTAACAACCAGAGGAAATGACCACTGCGAATATCTTTCATATCAATTCATTGTAATCGCATTTGTAATAAAACTCTGTTGATATTACTGTCTTTATTTGATATTTTAAATGGTTTATCGTTGAATACTCTTCWTATGTAAATCACAGGCTAACTGACGGGAAGCGGTTTGATGTGTTAAGCCCTCCTTCCGTCAGAAGTGGCATAGATAGTACTGAAAAAACACATGACTATGAAGAATATTAGAACGTTTTATCATTGAAAATTTCAAAAACATGTCGAAGGAGTGTTTGACTATCATTAAACGATCATATGTTCGATTATAAGAACTGATTGTTGTAGTATATTAGATTGAAATGAGGGTTTAATTAGAGAACTCTGGATGGAAGCTTTGATCGTACTACCAAAACAAATGCAAAAGAACGTTTGATCATCAAAGTAACGTTTTCACAAAAAGAACACTTGATCGTTTAATCCAAAACGAACATTTCATAAAAATCTTCTTAATTTTTGTCGCACTATGAGGAAACAGGAATTAATTAATTAGAGTAAAAGGAAGGGCAGAAGGCATGCCTGGAGGCGATGTAACTAACTTGTCTTAGAATAGCGGTCYTGCATACCAATCAAATTGAATGGCTGTATAGCTAAGCTTATTGTAAAGAGTCCTCAGCAAACATATTGACAATGATATGACAGCGAAATGTAAACGAAGAAACTTTCTCGCGTTTTGTAAACATCATTAGACTTGCATATGATGAAGTTCCCTTCTAACAACRGCGGACTAAAGTACGTCTTCCTCTACAACTAACAGTATCTCAGTTGTCTTTTATTAATACAGCGTGGTAGAATCACAAATCGAGGAGATGCAGTAATCTCAAGACAGTGGAGAGTCTTCTCAAAGTAGTTTTAGTTGCAGAGTTATTTTGTTTGCAGACGTCAGGAATTCAACGCAATTTGAGACTAAAAACGACTCAATAAYATGAACTCCTTACTAACAACAACGTTGGATCCAAGTCGTGTGAGTGCAAYCATGACAAAKTTGGCYGAAAACACCACAGGCAGCTCAACGTTGTCCGAGGGGAGCGTTATAGTCGGAGTGGTCGTTGAGTTGGTGATCTTGATMTTGATTACTGGTAATTTGTTAATGGTGGTGACCCTRCTGCTCTACAAACCRTGGACTATTCCTGATCTACTTTTATTCTCTTTATCATTGGCTGATTTGATTAATGGGATGATTCCAGCGAATATACTCAACATTATCAATAGTTTTTACGGACAGGAACGATGGACGCCGGGACTGTGCACACTGTTCATCTGGATGACATTTTCTCTTCGAATGACATCAGTGTGTACTATTACACTTATATCAGGAGAACGAATGTTAATGCTGACTAAACCACTTCGTCATCATAGYATAATGACCGTTAATAAAGTACGCATTGCTATCGGGRYTGTGTGGGTGTTTTCAATGTTTCTCTCAACAATCCCGTTTATGGCTGGACAATCTGGATTTTCTAATGGTTTCTGCTWTTACCAGCTTTATGATCTTGGTCTAGGGTTTGGTATAACAATTGAAGCTATTGGAATTATCCAACTTATCCTGGTATTGGCTTGTTTTATCATCATTAAATTTTCCTCGTTTAAGTTTATTAAAAGGCAAAGTATTATGGCTGCGTCGAACCAAACCGGAAACAAAGTGCAKMGAAAAGACAAAGAAACAGCCGGCACAAAGCAAGTACGACAGCTTTACAAAATGATGGCAATCGTTGTGATCCTGTACTATGTCAGCTGGYTGCCTTATTTGGTGAGTTGAGAGAGTTTTAATGTTGTATTGATTCAAGTTAACRCTCTTAATGTATTTGTATTTGATTGAGATTACAGTTATGGAACAGTCACGTGATTTGGTGATAATTTAAAAGATATGACGTAAAGACGACGTCATTTCACTTTCCACCACTCAGCATATAAACATACAATAAAAAAATAATTGAAAATAATTCTATTCTCATACAATAACATAGCTTTGTGATGGCATATGGTTTGTATTTTCATTCAATTATACAATATTTCATTATTACTGTTTAGCTCACGAACTTCGTAAGTCTCGTCTACGGACACCTCCCCCACACAGTAGATATTATTGTTGGTTTTCTCTCATTGGTCAGCGCCATCATAAATCCACTGCTGTACGGCAAGATGAGCCTGCGATACTGGCGTGGTTACCTATTTATTTTTAGAAAGATACGATCGTTGTGTGGCGGCGAAAAGCCCGATGGGAGTTTCTTCAGTAAGTATACCCATTGGTCCTTTCGGTCATACAACCTTTTAATTTATATTGTATGCCTTGCCCCATTTTCAGATGACAGAAGAAGAGGGTCTTATTCAGCTGCTTACTCACATCCAATTAGATTAGATGGTCGATTATCGACAGCCGAGCTGGACGTCCGACATCAGATTAACCCAGCTTACGAAGACGAAGAAAAAAATGACTACAAAAAGGAGGCTATTCAAGACGTCACTACACCAGCAAATAATGATGATGATGATAAGGATGATGACGATGATGAAATTGCTATTTACCCAGTTGAAGTAAACAAGGTCGATGATGATGATAATGACGATGAAAACAACGAGACTCAGATTACAATTTGTCCTTTGAATCAGAGTGCACAGTTCGACGACGGCAGCAATGAACCAACAGGTACTCCTAACCTTGATGTATCTTAAAACTGTTAGGAATTTCAAAGTAAGAAGAACTTTTGTGGCAAAAAAAATGATTTTTTTTCGAGTCCGCCATCGTGAATTTGCCGCCATTTTGTTTTATTTGCGTTTCCGCTGTCCACTACTATCACTGGCGTCTCTTATAGTCAAAGAAGGGCATTATATAGGAAAACAGGTGTCAGATTAGTATTTTTTTTCTCTCTTGTGTACACTAGTTCATGGCAGCCAGAGAAGTCTAGTCTCCTGCCTGCCCTGTGCCACCACAGGTAGCCCAGACACTAAACGAATTGTTTTATAATTATAGGTTCAGAAGACAAAGAAAGTGAGGAGAAACCTTCAACAGTCGACGAAGAAGACTTTTCTATTTGCCCTTACGATGAAAGTATTATAGTCCATTACGAAGACTTGATAAAACTAGCTGAAGAACAAGCTAAAATCAGTGAAAATGACAGCCATAACGCTCCTGAGCCTGCMCCAGGTGTAAATCCATCCGAACACTCAACACTAGAGAATGGACAATCAAAAGTGAAGAGCGACGAAAACATCAATATTCCAGGTTCTGTTTTGGACACTGATGGTAATGACACTGATGAAAGCAATCGAAGCCAACCAAAACCACAGATCAACAATCAAGGTGTCAATAATGAAGGARAATCCAGCCAATCAGAGAGTGATGCGAGCGATTCATTTGGAGAGGGTAGCATTCTGGGTAACTATGACATCACTATGCCCTCGGCCCATGACARCTCRGATGATAATGAYCAAGTTRRAGACAGCGATGCGTCCAGTAGAGGAAGCGCTGAAGGAAACTACGATATCATGGAGGATCTTCTCGAGGATCAAAACGCAAAAAATGAAAAACATGGACACTTTTTTGTTGATGATGTTGTGAAAAAAATGGAGGAAGAAGAAAAGCAGCAATCGTCAATGGAAACCTTTGATTTCCTCTCAGATAACAACAAACTACTCGAAGAAAACCATTCTTTAGACGATGCTCTAGCGAAACCCTCGACMACAAAGTCCACTCAAGATGTAGATAGAGCAGAAAAAGGAAYCATGAACGGTGARCAGGAAGGTGAACCGGATGAACGAAGAAATGATACAGAAGATGGAATTGATAGTGAAAGTGAAGATGAAAATGATAAAAGAAATGGAAACAAAGTAATTGAAAACATAGGAAAGGAAGAAAGCAAGAACGAAGGCATAGAAATGGTTGCACCTGTAAAGGAAAACGAAAAAGAAGACAAAGAAAAGAATGAGAAGGAAATGGAAACGTCGAATACAGAACAACTGGATATAGACAAGCAACGAGAAGAGAAGAGCGAAGAAGCTCAGGAGGCAACAAACGGAGAGGCGCAAAATGAGGATAGTAAGAAAAGAATACAGCAACAACTTGAAGAGACGCCAGACGAAATAAACAAGGGAGCACCGGTTGACAGACAACAAGAAGAGCATAACAACAACATACAAGATGACGAGCAAGAAGACGACGACGAAGAAGAGCCAAACTTTATCGCTAAAGAAAGCATTTTTAAAGGTTCAAAGACGGACTTTTCGGCCAAAAAGAAATACTTCCGCAAAGAATCTGATCTTCTAAGGAAAGAACTGGGAGAAATCTGATCCCATTGCAATCATGTAGGCTCAAGAAGCCTGTGAGATCACGAGGAATGGATCTTCCTATACCATGCAGTACTCTCAATTATAAGCATGGACTGTGCTGTTGAAACGCGCATATTTAAGACCTCTTACGTCACCAGACCTTTTTCATAGTCGTATTCAGTTGCATGACGGCATTGCGTGACTGTCACTTGGTGTTTGTAAACAATAACAAACGATGTTGTTTGTATATAGACGTAAAAAATGATTCAAAAATCGCTCTTTTCGATGAKTTTATCATTGCATTCCTTAATGAAAACAATTGAAACGCTGTTTTGTGAATATTTCCTTGTATAATGCCTGCCACATTGAGAATAAATCAAACAAACTCAATTAATCGTGAAGAGTCCTGTTGGTTTGAGTGAGCAAGACGTGATGTGGTGAGAATGTTCTGGAACCGTTTCATGATGCAGKCCTTGAACTAACTATCTTCTCGTTTCTTTGACTTCTTGTGATTTTTGAGATTATTTCACCTGACAATGTTACATTTCCAAGGAAGATTCCATTCGAATCCCATCATGTTTCAATTTTGATGACATCTTCTAATGCTTACAGAAGGTTGTATYGTGAAGAAGTAGGTGTTTGCTAAGTTGAGTGGAATATATCAAAACTCTTGTCAGAAGTAGTTTTGCACTAGTAAACATGTCGTTGTCTTGCATTGTTTTTTCTTTGTGGATAAGTTATAAATGATAAATAGCTCCTCCCTTACAGAAGTATTTAATCACTTAATCGCAGGGTTCAAACACTTTAAAAAGAAGCCTTATAATGCTCATCTGGTGCCAGTTGAATTAAATGTTTGATACTCGTTACTTTTATTGTGTTGTTAAACGCTTGAGATGAGCTGAGAGATGACATTGCGCATCTGTATACAATCATAATAATGAAATATACCTTTACATKAGTTGCCAAATGGGATGAGAAGCCGAATAGTAATGAAGTAAGAGGGTTGGTTATACCTTTATCTTTTCCCTTAATGGGGGAATGGTGGGCAGTACTGTATTGCCTAAGAGAGCCTAAGATATTAAAGAATGAATGATATAATCTTGCAATAACTCTCCACTCTTGTGCTGAAACAGCAAAATACCTCCACTTCCAAGTTTAACTTGTGTGATATCAATTAAYCTTCCAAAGAAAGCCATTTCCTTTAGTTGTTTAAGCGCATTTCAATATGGTATGACATTTGGTATCGTTTCATTTCTAAAAATGGCAGTAAATCCCGAGTCATGAGTGAAAAACTATTAACTATATAGGAACCTACAAACTGAGTTATTATCGATAATGAGATTTGAACAAACATTCTCTCCCATGCCAATATTAACAGTAGTAAACTTGCTTTAACTAACTTGAGGTTCCAAAAACTTATTTTAACTATTTACTTTCTTTTAATGATTTATAACTGAAGCATCATCTTCATGCACAGGCATSCTAACGTGCTCTAACGATAGTGTTTGTTATTGGGCKGAAGAACTTGAACAGTTACGTGRCAGGCGACCACAAAAGGGTTGAACAATCCATCACTATTTTGATTAATGTGATCGGCTGTAGACTCACTAATATCACGTACAATTACCATAATTGTAGCAGTTTATTCAAGTATATGTAAGCTTAAATTCCTAAKCTTAATACGATGTTTATATTAAAACATATCGTCGCTTCAATAAAGCAGTAAAAACAAATACGAGGATTAAAGTTTTAATAATCCAATAAACACGAAATAATAAAATACTTTATGAGTATACTTCTTACAGAAATCGCTTAGCTTAATACTCCAAAGAGTCTTAAAGTTGATTCTACACTAAGTCTGCCTATGCATATCCAAAACCGCAGTCTATATATATACCCCACGTACAACACACCCTGATGAAGGCGTGTGTTAAAAAGTTGAGGTGTGCTTTGTGATAATTTTGCTGCAGTAATTTGCTTATCAATGTCGTGTTAAGGTGCTCAGAGCTTTTTTAGTTTTTATACTCGATTAGAACACGACGCAGTTGTACAAATGTTGTGTGCTTGCKCAAGCTGCGTCGTACRAGTGACATTTGCGTCATCCTTCATGGTTGGAAAAAACATTCAATATACTTAAACTGTWCAAAAATCCCATCCAAATTGTTTTTCAATAACATGTCTTTARATTTATATTGATATCATAACTAAAGCTGTACGAATTTGCTGGAATGATTACTTGGCTTTAGATTCCGTATGATTTGTTGTCTAGCAACCACGCGCCGTACGTCTGAGTGTCTACACATCGTTATGCCTTATTTAGAAGTACATGACTACAAYATATCACAAAACACTTGAAACACAATCATGCGTTGGAATCATGGCTGTAGTTTACGGGGATAACAAATGCTTTAATAGTAAACTTTGATTGCTTACATTGAACGAAGACCTTTTTGATTTCTCGTGCTCTTGACCAGGAAATGGCTGGGAAAACCTAAGTTTGTTGTACATGAAGACTGGGTTGTATTGTCATTGAAAAATGTCAAAGCACGTTTAATCCGTTTCACATAAATGGTTTCGATGACAAAAATAAAAGTCTAAAAATATACCACATCTTCCTGAATTCGTTTTTGAAGTAACTTTGGGCATGTCGATCATTTTGAAGAAACAATCMMRCATCGTCTTTTATACATCAGTAGATGTGGTTGTTRGATGTTTTCTGTAACTCAGATGCAATAGCCAAGTAACTTTATGCTTCGGTATTGTCCCTCCCCTCCCCCAGCGCAAAACAACCCCTCATTGCACACAAAACAAACATGGCGTTGGGTCAGCTTAAGTCTTCAATCATCGAACACACAAAAAAATACATAAATAATTGCCAAATATTTCAACCGCAAATAAATTGTTTGCGTTATTTAGAAATATTAATAACGTTTATGAAGACTGTTGACGGATAAGCATTGTTGATTCTGCGTACACTACATTTTGAGGGTTACGAAACTGCGTGTCGAATCGACTTACGACTAGTTAATCTAAGTTCTCGCAACTTAAACGTCGACGAAGGAGAAGCTAATCGGCCCCTAGACCATAAATATCTAGCCCCTTACGTTAACTACTAACTATCGAAAGTATAATGTAAAATTAGTAGTAGTCTGTTCGGTGAAACACCTCATTGATGTAGTATTTGCATTCTGATAGGACAGGGTTCGAATCCACAACATATTTAAAGGTTGAATAGCATCTTTCAATCGGTTTCAGTGAAATATCGAGCTCTTGTGTATGTGCGATTGATATTTCATTGTCAAAGTAGAAAAAAGTAACAGTTAGTTATGTGGTTTGTATCTTTACAAACTGTATTTGCYTTTAAGATGTTCATAGTATTTCCTGGATCAAACCTTCTAGAACACTTGATCACAAATAAAAGAAACTGGATATTGACTGTGTGAAATCTGGACATACTAACAGATAAACTCATTATGTTACAGGGTACTTTCATCGAGCGCTTTTGTTCAGATACATCGATCTAATATAATGAAACTATATACTATATTATATTGTAAATCCTATATTTGTGCCATTTTTCACCGCGGTTCGTCCTGAAGGAAACGAAAATACAAATGACTTGCATGATGCTTTTATATTTCAAGTTTCCTGGTAAATTMAATCCAGATCGTTTCCAGTAAATTGYACTTGTTTATCCAGWAGTTGACCTTAAGTACCAGATTTGCGTGGTAATACATAATTTCTTTTCCAATACAAAAACCTGAAGTGTTTTAGTGGTAAAAGCCAAYGCATAATAGCTCTCAAAAATTGAAATAATATCTGGTTTGGAMAAGTGGCAAAGCTTTACCGAAAAACCTCACATATTTCAGTAATGTTTCACTTTAGCCTTACAACCGTTATGTATTTTTTTAATAAAATTAACATTAAAATTATAATCATTATTTCAAATGGTATCTTTACATAACTTTTGTAGATCAGGCTATTCAGATTATAAGTTTAAATTAATGTAAATAAAGCAAAAAGGACCCGAAAGAATAGAMAGTCAAGTCGACCAATCATATAACTTCGGCTGTATTTTAAAACCAAGCTGGAATTGTTACTTATTCATTATAAATATAGTCTCTACTCTGATAGCCAAAATGAAGGGCGTAAAACCTAGCATAATTCATTATAGAAATCTACTTATGGATTACGAAAAAAWTKAATTTGAGATGGCTCAAAAATAGGCTGTGCACMCATGCAAGCAAATAYGAATTGATACARAAATTATTAAAATAGCCATGACAAGTGAGTCAATTCTTATTTGTTTAATGCCAACAATTTTTTTCTATATTCATATTTTTCTGTTTCTACGAGTTTTATTATTCTTAGTATACTATGTAGACTCGTTTAGTTTGAATTATTTCTTTTTTTGTATTCATGTTAATTAMGTGTTACTGTTACTCAGGTTTTGTAATTTGTAAAGCTTATTAGTATAATTATAAACAGAATAAAAAAAAACACTTCGTCTGTAATAAAAAACAAGCTATAAGCATCAACGCATTTTTCACTAGTAAGATGTCTTATATGGAATAGTTATTTTAAATAGAACTTTTCTACACGTAATCATTTTTTCRTCATTATAATTATCTTATCAAAACACTTTAGATTTGAAGTGTTTTTACCGGACTAGTGGGGTGATAGGTACAGGTGTGGTCGTCATAACACTTACCTAAAAAAAACCATCCCAAATTTCGTCAAGAAATCAAGTACCATAACAAGTTTCATTTTAAAAATAAAAATACTTTGTACCGAATTTCACTACTATTTTCTGCAAGAATCGTTATCAGTGGGAGAAAATAGCAATATTTCTGACAAAAAAAAAACATGGAGTAGAGTTGACACTTCGATCATTTCCAAACTTCAAACTCGAATGAGCTACCTTTTGTCTACAAAGTTTTTGAGTTGAATTTGTCACGTGTGAAATTCAACGTGCATAACGAGCCTTTCAGGAGTGTAGGGTATTTTAAAACCCATAAATCAAAATGTACGTATTTTTGAATTAAAATATTTATTAATAGTTACATAGGTACAAATAGAAAAAAATCAGCTATTTTACAATGGTCCTGGAATAAATATCACTTGTCCATATTTTGGGCAAAGATCTTTAATGGAAAAACTACAATTTCTAACTGATATTTTGACGATACAATGAAAAAATTACAAAAACGACAGTGATTATGATGCTGATGTTCACATAATTTGTCTTTTTAAATACAGGGTTTGAATATTTCAACCCCTAACAATAACATGCAGAATGACTACAATTTAGAATTAGCAAAATATTTTCATTGTAATATGATATCGAAGATTAGAATTATAAACGTACCGAGTATTTTTGTCAGATGACTTTAGATATAGTTAATTCATAGTTAATGCTTCCTTATTTCATTCCAATTACGTGAATTTCTATGAACTTTTACAATAAAATGTCAATTTAAAGTTTTTATGTGTTTCTACAATAATTCTGAACGATTCTTATTCTAAGAACTCTTGAAGGTTMTGTTTTCTTTGATAATGTCATTTTTTTCTTTATAAAATCTTCTTTTAAGATTAAAATCTGTTAGTTCCATGTTCTTAAATCTCGTCCCAAGTCTTTCAGTCTTCAGACAATTTTCACATGTAATTCGCGTACACTTTTTTGAGTTTTTCATTTTTATTCCATGTACTCTTTTATGCACTCGTCGTGTCTTGGTACTGTACCATAACATGCTATAGTAGGCATTGGTCGCCGTAGTTCCCCATGATGCGATGGAAATGATCCAAGCATAGAGCATCCACAGTACGGATGGGTTGGACCATAGACATCCATCGGTTCAAGGCTTCTCATTCCAAGGCTCATTATGTTATAGTACATAGGATACATCTCCCGTAAGATCCCTAGTTCTCGAGATCTGTCTGTAGCAAGCAATGCTTCCATGTCAAAGGCTTTGGTTCTGCGTGTTCTCATACTTTCCATCTTCGTTTCATTCATCTTTTGTTCTTCGACGAGTTTGGGCGATGCCGCTGTGGGATCGTTATCTGGTGTACACACATCAATCTCCTGGTTCTCTGGTCTCCATTCTGGTGAGGAAGGTACAACTCTCTCGTCTGTCTTGTGGTTTATCAGGTCTCCATAGAGTTGTTCTGGTTCCGTGAATTCTTCTTCTTTCTCTTCTACTTTAGTGATGTCTGGATCAATCTTTAGTTTTCKGTCATCATCCAGGTGCTTACATAGTTCTTTCTGTGCACGATGYCGTGGCATGATTTGATCTTTGTGGATTTCTMTTTCGTTTTCCTCAGGYTCGTTAAGATCTAAGACCGCTTTTCTTTTCATAGCTTCAAGTTTTGCTCGCGCCTTTTTTCCTCTGCTAGGTCGTCTGTATGTTCTTTTWCGTCTAAAGTCGCCGCGCCTGAAGTCATCAATGAACAGCGGACTGATGGCCCAGAAATGTCCTTTACCGTTCTGACTTCTCCCAGAYTTAATGAAGCAGTCATTCAGTGATAGATTATGTCTGATGCTATTYCTCCATCCAGTGCCCTTGTTTCTGAAATACGGGTAACTAGTGAGGATAAACCCATAAATATCACTAAGGATGAGCTTCTCCTCTGGTGAGCTTAGAATGGCTTCTGCTATGAGCCCGATGTAAGACTGGCTTGGTTTTTCATCGTCTGAYGCRCCGCTGTAGAGTGGAAATCTGTAATGATTGGAGAATCTGTGACTTTGAAGCCCCCACCAAGACCACAAAGGCGTCTTCACTGTGGAGGARTCAGCACTCCACCAAGGAACATATGGAGAACTGTACGGCGTCTCGGGGAAGTGAATCGTGGTCTTYCCATCGGAATCATCAGACGAAAAAGAATTATGCCTTACAGGTGTGAAGGCTGACACGTTCAACGCCATGATCACTGGTTMTAGAACACTTGATCACTGCCTGTATTTATACAAATGTATCACAAAGGTTTTGCTCCAATATATAGCTATGCTCACAAGCTTACTGTATACACAAGTGGTTCGTGAGTATTGGAATACAAATAGTCTGTTGCCGATATTTATATACTTCTAAGTGCTTGGTGAACTATATTTATAAGTGGAATAATTGTTAGGCTGCATCTATTCCTTTTATGGCGTCCTTTCCAGTTGAACGCATTTGTGACAGTGTATGAGCTATTTATCACGAGAAGGATTTCAAACTTGGATGGCCATACAAGCTTCATAAATCAGAATCGMTTGTTTTATCTCATGGATTGGCTATTAATGTGTTTGAATGCTTTYATRAATGGAAAGAGTTTGCTTCTATGATAATTWATTCGATTGTTTCATCTAGTTTACTTTGCAAAATRTGCTGCGAATCGTCACCAGCGAATCAATCTTACAAACACAATGATAAACCTTACACGATRCAACTATACGTACAAACATTGTACATTTCTTTGACAATTTTTCCAAGCTGTCAAACCCAGACCTTTATACGCAATTTAGCCCCTTACAAGGACACTATAACAGAGTCGCAAACAATATTGTKGAGACATCAGTGAATGGATGGAAATTACTAAATAGCTGGGAATAGTTCGTGAATATCRTATATATGGGACCATTTCGTCAACATCAGAACTGAAACAGTATTCATTCATAGTATCGAGGAAATTATTAACTACAATTCATTGCAAAAACCAAAAATGTGCCAGTAGCATTAAATCCAAAAAATATATCAGTTTTCTGATGAATTTTTAGAAACTGTCATGGATCTTGAAAATTATCTTAGATAATCKTTCACTACCTATTACCCTAGTTTAATATTCTCATGTGTTTCAGCATAGTTATTTAACTAAACTTGAGTATGTTGAAATGTTCACACGCGTGTCACACCAAGAAATAACAACGTCACGCTCAATAGAGTGCAAGTCACATAAGCATGAAACAATTCTTAACTATTTAGTGCTAAATAAGATTTAGTTATCAACTAACTAAGAATTGAGAACAATGCTAAAAAGGAATTTAAATAATTGGCATTGTGTTTATGCTTTGTTGAATTCTTAGTTAGTTGATAACTAAATCTTATTTAGCAATACATGTTAAGAATTGTTTCATGCTTATGTGACGTGCACTCTAAAGTCATCGTTAAATATAGACAGCGTCACACAACTCACCATTAGAGCGGATAACGTATGAGGATATGAGTGGGACACCGTTACCGCACGGTTACCGCACAGTTACCGGACCTGGTCTGCACATTTTTGTGAACCAATGGGGCACTAGAATTTGGTTACAGTACGATTACGGTTACAGTACAGTACCGTCCGTTTCCCACTCATACGAAATCCGCTCTAAAATGGGTTGGTCACACAATTCAGTTGTATGTATGGGTTGRCTCATGTACACTAATGATGACTAAACGTCCTTCACCTCCCTGAACCTTCCCTTCCTCCTTATACTTCMCTTGCTCCTTTCCGGTTAGTACCCTATAGTCTYTGTAAAGTGATTACGTAATGCTCTTCCTGTGGGCAGAAGTCCGTCGAATACGTGGGTGGGTGGGMAAGTGTATTTTTATCAGTAAAGACACAGGTAGCCCACTTCTGTCTATTTAATGAATCACGAGTGGCTAAACTTTGGCAGTTACTTCGAGGATGTTATAGTCCTCAGTTCATAATATTTTATGGATGATCATCAGGATGACCCTATCTTATTTTGTTTTTGTTTTTTTATTTTATGTGTTGCTGTTTGGTTTCGCTGTCTTTGTATTTATTGTGAATTCAAAGGCAAATTTTTAAAAGCTTTACTAATAAATGATAAAAACAATATGTACTASATTTTAATCAAACTTAAGTTATCCATTCCAATCAATGCTGTACTGACGGGATTATCTTGTCACACCTGTTTTTACTTGGGAAAAATATATATAAGAAACAGCTGAATGTTGTTTTTATTAGGAATGTTTAAAGAATGTTCATGACAAATACGGGATAACGTCATTGGTGAAGTTGTTCAAATGTGTCTGAAAATAGGAAATGAAAAAAAAAATAAGATAACAAAAAATAACAACACACACAGAATATACTAGAAATGAATGTCYATATTAAAGTGCATGATTTCAGCTAATAAAACATAAAGTTCATTTAACGTCAGTAGAACAGAAAACATCAAAAGCACTGCAAATGATCAATGAATTTAAGTGGGCGCAAATTAATAAAAAAACAACAGTTTTTCCAATTGCTCCCGCTTTTGCTTGCATGATGACTTCCTGAAGTAGCTATAAGTGGCGCCTCGTTGGGCTAATGCATTAGCCGAGTCAGTTTAGCATAATAAACATCGGAGGTCCGTCATTATTATGAAGAAGACAACCCGTCACAGCGCCGGTAACGACAAGAACACAAACACACTACGATTTCCAAAAGCTGATGTGTTTAATAGTAAACARAAAATGGTACCAATGTCATTAGAGATGAAAGAGGTTCTTACTGGTTTGGAAAGGAAAGATTTACTGCCTGAAAGCGATAAAAAACAAGAGCTACAAGTACCAGCAATACGACTCAAAAGACCTGCCAAACAGCAAAGTAAATCGGTTACAGAGAAACCTAATCGTGTCCATCCTACACTACAAAGCAAACATTTATCAAATAACACGAGCAAGAAGACTGATTTCCCGAGTCAATCCCAACTGTSTTTTCCTGTAATTTGTATTGATGATCAAGAGGCAAGRAGTACTRCCGTAACATCTGTTCGTCGTCCTCGATCATATACAGCACCAGTAGAATATCATTTAACAGAAGAAACTCGACTTAAACCAAACCCYAAACGCAAACTCCACGTTACGATGAGTGTAGATACAGCATCGCTACAAGATGAGAGAACAAGACCTCGAGCAGCTACGTTTCCATTGTGGAACCAACAAGAAAATAACGATATTTGTACACCAGGTAGTATACATACTACAAAACCGTGGTTAAATAATTYAGAATCGTCCAACAGTACTTCYAAATTACACAARAAATACCCGAAGTCTTCGCAGCAAGAAAYAGAAGGAATATTAAGTCGTTGTGAAAATTGGTTTCAATGGAGGGAGAATATACAAACAAAAAATACGAAAATGTACAAAAAGTAAACATGTTTATGRAGTGAGGATTTACTYAAAAAGCGCGGGARCTTGTCAGTTTGCGCAGCTTTTTGGCGGGAAARAGAAAGATTGGCTTTTTAWTCGATTGAATAATACTTAAAAAAGCCATAGGATATGAACTTTAATGACAACGGCGGAAGCTRTGGAGAGCGTACAGCCGTAATCTTAAAGTGAAAGCTGGATTTTAAACYGATCGATATCTTCTGAGTGCCTTTGGGAAGATGCAATAGCCGACTAAACTGAGTGTCATTTAAAAACAAATATTGACAATTTAAAGAATTATAGTTGTTAATTTTCTCTCAGATAAAATAGAAGTCTTATCTATTTATTGCCTATCATTGTGCCTAACTTAGACAAATCTATTCAATCTTAAGTTTCGATAAAAGTCCACGCGGTTTATGACTAATATCGTTTTCGTTAATGAAGTGAAGTATGTGTTCAATTCAACYATCAAATACAATATTTCCTCTTTTGTGTCAATATTTGACCGCACTTTTCTATAATTTCATTTTTTTCTTAAAACAATATCACAATTAGACATAACAAACTGAGTACACAGAAATTTTAATATTCTCTATCGAACCAAAAGATGATTTCGTTTGACTGGACGCAACGTCTAAAGATTCTAAATAGACCATAATCAAGATACGTTTTCGATACGGTTTGCGATACGGTTATGATAGGTTTCCGCAATACGGTCAGTTACGATACGGTTACGATAGGTTTCCGCGATATGGTTACGATAGGTTTCCGCGATACGGTTACGATAGGTTTCCGCAATACGGTTACGATAGGTTTCCGCAATACGGTTACGATAGGTTTCCGCAATACGGTTACGATAGGTTTCCGCAATACGGTTACGATAGGTTTCCGCAATACGGTTACGATAGGTTTCCGCAATACGGTTACGATAGGTTTCCGCAATACGGTTACGATAGGTTTCCGCAATACGGTTACGATAGGTTTCCGCAATACGGTTACGATAGGTTTCCGCAATACGGTTACGATAGGTTTCCGCAATACGGTTACGATAGGTTTCCGCAATACGGTTACGATAGGTTTCCGCAATACGGTTACGATAGGTTTCCGCAATACGGTTACGATAGGTTTCCGCAATACGGTTACGATAGGTTTCCGCAATACGGTTACGATAGGTTTCCGCAATACGGTTACGATAGGTTTCCGCAATACGGTTACGATAGGTTTCCGCAATACGGTTACGATAGGTTTCCGCAATACGGTTACGATAGGTTTCCGCAATACGGTTACGATAGGTTTCCGCAATACGGTTACGATAGGTTTCCGCAATACGGTTACG